GACAAACACTGGCTCTATGGCTTGGAAACAGGGATGAGCACCTCCCACTAGAGTCGAACACGACTGGACAAAAAAATTGTCAAGGGGAACCCTTTACCTTTACCTAGTCATGCTGAGGAATCTGCAAGAGAAGCACGCACCATTCGCCCAGGGAATGGGTGAGCTTGAAGAGGAGGTGGGAGAGAGGAATGCTCTGCATCCGCAGAACACTTACGTGGGCGTGACACTGAACTGGGGTTTGTGCCCATCTCTGCTCATGAAATCACGAGTTTAACTCATGCCTTTCTCAAACTCATCTGCACGTTTCCCCGGAGAAATGGCAGGGAGTCAACTACAAAGTTTCCAGTGTTTTCATTTTAATAATTTATCCCAAAATCAGAAACAGAAGCAGCAGTGGTTGGAAGCCAGCAAGGGATGTGTGCGAGCGAGAGATACACATGGAGAGTTTGAGCACGATCCTAAAGCAATCCAATATTCCGAAGACCAGACTGCCTATCTAGCCTATCCCTTCTTTTGCTGTTTGGATTAAGGACCTGCACATGGAGGGCAGAAACAACAAAACATCTGCAAATACACTGAAAAGTGAATTCAAATGAATGAGCTAGTAGAGCACATTCCTGTTTCCACTACAAAGCGAGATGAATCTGTATGTTCTGAGCAGAAAACCCAACCATTTAAATAGCACAATATTCTAGGCTTTTAAACAGCTGTTTCTTTGGTTGCTTTTAAAAAGACAGACTCTGCAATCTGAAAGGGAATCTGATGTTGTCAGAGTGCCATGATTTTTAAAGGAACTGTGCAGATGAGTAAACATTTTATGGACCAGCATTGATTTACGAGACATTTGCAACAAAGCTCTTAAATATACTGGACAACATAGGATCATGGAAGAAGTGTTCTTGCCCCCAGATGGGCAGTATAAAAGTCAAATCAATCAGTCAGTCAATCAATCAATCAATCAATCAATCAATCAATCAATCAATCAATCAATCAATCAATCAATCAATCAATCAATCAATCAATCTGTAGCTATCACATGTGATTTTTGCACTACAGCTCCCAGACAGCATAGTGCACAGCTGTACTCAAATGCACAGAAAGCTCTAAAAGAATATTGCATGGGGGTTTTAAAGAGTAAAGCAGATCTCCCATAAACAGTTGTTCTGGGAGATCTGCTTTATTCTTTAAACCCTCCCTGCAATATTCTTTTTTCTATTTCAGAGGCCAGAATCCTGTTAGTTACTACTGCTGGCATAATTCTATTGTTGCTAATCTCAGCATCCAGTTGCACAAATTAAAAAGTTGGCGAAGGCATTTGCTGCTGCACAACAGATCATGCAACACAGTGTGCAACATCAAATGTCTATGCCAACTTCTTAATTTGTTGCAGCTGCTACATGAGATTTTAGCCACTGGAGTTACACCAGTGTAAATTTCCCCCCTAAAATAATATTTTTTCTAAAATAAAGAGTTTGTTATTAAAAAACAAACACTGATGTAAGTAAGTAACAAGATTTCATCCAGAAATCTTTATATTGTCCGCCCCCTGAAAGGAAGAACGTGGTCAACCCCCTATTTACATAAGTAAATAATAACTATCTTTCCTATTACATATGAGTTTATATCAGGGGTGGGCAATTAATTTCTATAGAAGGGCCACATGAAAAATCTGAACTGTGTTTGGGGGCCGAACCAACTTTACTTAAAAATAAAATGAAACAGTGATGTTATGATTGTTTTTATTTTAAACTTGTTAATCTTCACAAATATTAAAGAGGTTTTTTGCGGTATGTTAAAGATAAGCAACTGATCAACTTTAGACAAAAAGCTATAAATGGTTTTGATGTTCAAAACTGTCCACGGACCAGACAGGAGCAGCTTGCGGGCCGTATGTGGCCCTCGGGCCGCACTTTGCCCAGGTCTGATTCATATCAATAAAGCAATCTTATAAATGGCAACTCTCTTTCAGCTTGAAACCTGAAACAATTTCACTTACCGGCGCAGAGTTGTCCCTCGGTCCTCTGGATCGAACCATCCTGCCCAACACTTCTATTCCATCAGAAGTAATATTTCCTGCTGCATTGATCATCTTCTCACTCACTTGCTTGCAGTCAATCACTATTTTAGCTGTTGTTTTGCTTATGACTACATGCAGCTAAGGAAGGACAGTGATGTGTTTAATACACAAAAAGGATAGGGAGTAGCCATTTGTACACAGGAGTTAATTCAGGCTGTGTCTTTCAATGACAGGCATTCCCCCCCACCCCCAAGAGTCTGTATTAAAAGTGAGCTGGCTCCAAATATAAATATAATCATCAGTCTTTGGAGATATATAACCCATGTGAATGGGGGCTAAAATCAGGCAACTGAATAAGAAGCAGAGC